AGTTAAAACCTCATATATAACAAGATGAAACAAGAAAAAACATTTCCAATTTTAAAATACATAAAAATCCTTAGATTGAATATATATAGAAATATAAGTAATGCATCACGGTTGCCACAATAATTTTAAGCAGCACAACTGTTTTCAACATTAACAATAAAAAGAAATGTTTCTTGAGCAGCAAATCAGCGTATTAGAATGATTTCTGAAGGATCGTGCGACACTGAAGACTGGAGTAATTATTGCTAAAAATTCAGCTTTGCTATCATGAAATAAATGACATGTAAAATATATATATATATATTTAAATAGAGAACAGTTCTATACATTTTAGTAACATTTCACAGTATTACTGTTTTTGCTTGTATTTTTCAATCAAATAAATTCTGCCTCGGTGAGCATAAGAGACTTTAAAACATTAATTCAAAATATGCATCGAAATGAGGCAAGAAAATATATTTCTTAAAATACATAACCAAAAATACATGTTGGACAATTTCTTCGTATTTATAAGTAACCTAACTAAAACTTATCAAAAATATATTAAAATATATCTGATAGTATATTTATTTTTGCCATATAGGGATAAAAGTATACTTCTTTACATAAGTGTTTCTATGTGTGTGGCTGCATCCGTGTGGGCTTGAGATCATAGATGAACTCGCTTTTGCAGCTGTGTCTGTTCTTTATGTTAGCGGCCGCACAGTGTGTTAAGTGCCCCCTTCAGCTGTCTACGACTCTCCCTTGAGCCCCAACCACTTACCGGAGACTGGGGAGGCCAAGCTCGACTGCCTCTCCTCACCCACTGAGTGCTTAACAACCAGCGGCTAAAAAACGCTCGTACGTTAAATTGTAATGCTTCTTCAGTTCGCGCTAATAGCGCTGGTGTCATTGATTTCTTGTCGCGCCCCCTCAGCCAGGCGAAATACTAATGGTGGTGGTCAATAAAGCACATGAACTGGAAGTTCTCACTCTTCACTTCTATCAAACTCAGCCCTAAAAATAGCCGCCACATTCTGCATCACCACCAGCTTACTTAAAGGAATAGTTCACCCAAAAATGAAAATGTGCTCACCCACAGGTCGTCCAAGATGTAGATGAGTTTCTTGATCGAAACAGATTTGGAGAAATGTAGTATTACATCACTTGCTCACCAATGGATCCTCTGCAGTGAATGGGTGCCGTCAGAATGAGAGTCCAAACAGCTGATAAAAACAACACAATAATCCACAAGTAATTCACACCACTCCAGTCCATCAATTAACGTTTAGTGAAGCAAAAAGCTGTGGCATTTTAAATTTAAACTGTCGCTTCTTGACAAAACAAGAGTCCATAATCCATAATAACGATTCCTCCAGTGAAAAAGTTCATTCTCTGTTGTCCTATTACATTCAAAATCCACTTCAAAAGGAGATATTTTATTTAACAGAAATTACTTTTCAAAAACTACAACGAACGACTCGTTTGGACTACAACACATATTTTCCGGGATTTGTGATATCACAAATACCGACGAATGGGACGAGACTTGGTTGAGCTGCACTAGAGAAGGTCCCTGTTTTGGACTGTTTTCGCTTGTAAATGGTGCTTGATCTGTGCATATTTCTTTCCTGCTTCAGATGAGATAATGTTTCAATGGAGAAAGCAATATTACGGGTAGAGGACTCCGTAAGCAACAGTTTGATGTTAAAAACATCTTCATGATTAATTTGTTTCTTACAAACACACAGCTTTTCGCTTCACAAGACATTAATTGATACTTGTGAATTGATGTGATGCTTTTATCAAAGAAATTATCTGTCGCTACTTCTGTTACATTGCAACATTACAAACACAATTCTTCATTTGATGTCATAAAAATGTATATCAATTAATTAATATCAGCTTATCCTGAATGTTTCTTTGTACATTTTTATCAACTTTAAAAGAATTAGACACATTTTTTTTTTACAGTTATTTGATTGTAAGCAAGTTTAAAATTAAAGTTGACATGAAATGTTCACAGATCATTTTAATTTCAAAAGAAAAATAAATAGGGCTGTACTTGATTTTATATGTCAGTAATTGGATCATAAAAAGAGAGCATTACATACCAAATGGGAGTCAAGAAAAAAAAAAAAAAGTAAAAAACACAACCCCCCCAACACACAATTACAATCTAGAGATATTGCAGCTTTTTTTTTTTTACTGTCACATATCTTTCTGAAAGGCCCCTTTTGAGTGAGGTATTGATCCGTTATATAAACGCTCAATGCCACTTCCTGCCACGAGGATGAAGTGTAGATATTGCTTCACTTCCTGTTTGTTGCTGCCGTGTGTTTTGAGTTTGAGCTCCGTCAAGTTAATTCTTTGTCGTCTAATTTTTTATCTTAAAATCAATTTTATACACCATCATTCTCGTTTCTATAACGTGTGAATATATCCCCTATCGTATTCTACAACAAAAACAATCAGAGCACCTTGTTATCACTAGTTCTATTTTTGACTTCCCGAGTCCGCTATTAGCATATAGCCCGCTAGCATCGCCAGCGTGGTTGCCGCTAATCTCGCTTACATTACTAATACACTATTCACTGTTACTTGCTTTAATGGCGGATGTGTGTCTGTTAAAAGCGCTATATAAATAAAGGTGACTTGACTTGACTTGTAGTTTAGAAATTGCTTTGTCTCAAAACAGAGTTCATAAAAACATTGATACTGTCAGTTTACTAATGCCCATTGTGTTTCACATTCTTTTCACAAATTCAACATTCACACCAGGGTAGCAATGTGACAGCTATTTTAGAGAACAGCATAAAAAAATACTAATTTCTTTTAATTAAGCAACTCTCTATGGAAATGGATACATATTTTGCAGTTATTCTGGTCAAACTAAACAAATTCCTAGTAGGATATCGTAAGTGAAATTTTAAGTGATTGTTGTGTTTTGTCAATGTTGTGAGCTTGAAGCAGGCCTTCACTCTTAAAAATAAAGGTGCTTCAAAAGGTTCTTCAAGCGATGCCATAGAAGAACCATTTTTGGT